GTTTCAATTTATTATGATTGTTATGTAAAGAACTTCAAAAAATACTTTTTATTTCAAATGACGTCGTAATATATTGAAATATGTATTCTAGCTGAACAAAGAACCGGAATTCTTGGAATTCTGGTGGGAATTCCTTCTTTGTTCTTTATTTTCATATATAAGTAATAAAGATGATAAATTCACAAAAACAATGTTATTTATGCTATCAAATATTTTTGTCATCATCATATCATCAGTCATCTCGCCTCGAATGTCTTTCATGTTAAATATAAATGATTACGCCTCATAGTGTTGCAACGGACCTTTGCCTTCGTTTCAGCGGTTATTTTATATAGCAGTCATCTCAAAAGGGGACCGCACATTGAATAACATAGTGGATGACCCGAATATGTCTACTTACAAGGGTATGTGTGTTCTGCGAATTTGAATAATAATAAAACCGCGGGTGCCGTACGTGATGGAAATGGAATCCGTTGCTGTTCTTCGAATTCTTGAATTTCTTATTTCTGTATGCTTAAGCGTATAACCCTGACAAATGAGTACATATTCATTCTCAAAACGTATCATATTTAAAAGCTTTTGTGAATAATCTTGCATTTAAAGGCATAAAAAATATCTATAAACGAATATTCATACCTGTTAATTGGCAAAGGCCCATATACATAGAGCCCCGATGACAAGCGAGTTTACAAGCTACAAACCAGAGAGTTCGCTAGCAGCTTGGAAACGCTGTCAGCGACTTTTTTATAATCTGCTATTCGGTGACACAGGGCGAGTTTACAAGCTGCTAGTGAACTCACTGGCTTGTAGCTTGTAAACTCACCCGTGAGGAGGACATCGTGGATTAACGCAAGAAAAAAAAACAAATTTCAAATTTATGTGACCTTACCTTCCTTAAATTCTAAATTGTGTTTTTTTTTGTGAATGTTCTAAATGAATATTTGAGAATGAATGAATAATTTTTTTTAAATTGTGATATCCGAACTTTATTCTGCGACACTTTCATTTGAGGAAACATTAAATCTTCTTTCTTCTACGAATTTAGGATCGCAATTAACTTCTGACTCGAAAAAATATTAAACATACGTCCCGGCGATTCAAGTTTCAATTGATTTGCAGAACACGCCACATGCAAGGAAAAACATCGCAAATTTTTATTTTAGTAACTTTACAGAAGAGCGGAACAGAAACAACGTAAGTTCTATGTTAATACAATCAAAAGGTAAGACCACCTTTAAATGCAAAATTTTATGAAGCGGGGAGAGTCTCTGGCATGACACTCAGTCCTTAACATCGCCAAGGCTTTTGACAGGGTCTGGCACAAAAGCTTTCTCTCCAAGCTTCCTGCATATGTTTTGCCTGCTCAGTTGTGCGCCTGGGTAGCTGACTTCCTGCATGAGCGTAGAATTCGCATCCTTACGGACGGATGTAGTTTGCAGTTCATGTCAGTGAATGTCGGTGTTCCTCAGGACTCCGTTCTATTCCCCACACTCTTCCTACTGCATATGAATGATTTGATTCCTCTTGGGAATATTCATTGCCATGCAGACGATAGTACAGTGCAAGCGAGATACTTTGGACACGCAGCGGCTGGACAGGTACGGCAGAAACCAAGGAGAAACTCAGGATTTGGACCACATTTCCAAATGGGGTAACAGGAACTTGGTTGAGTTTAATGCCAAGAAAATCCAGGTTTGTGCTTGTTGTACCCGCAAGTGCGGTCCCGCATGAAATATTGCTCGCACCTCTGGGATGGCTCCGCTAAGTCCTTACTCGCTGCCCGCATCATTGGCGATGAACAGGTAACTAACAAACTATCTTCGCGTTTGGACTATATCTCCACTTAACATCAGGTCGGGTAGAGTCATTTGCCTACCTGACTATAAAAAAAATGAATCGGAATGGCAAAAAATGCTATGTCAGAACCGGATCAAATTTGCAAGAACAGAAACATATCGACAACCACAAAGCTTTACGTAGTCTGAACTTTGGTGTTTTCTACGGTGCTGAGACGTGAACACTGAGATAGTATCGGCCTTTCTATATCAGCCTGATAGAGACCACGTTTGCCTTTGAGGTGTGGTGCTGGAGAAGGATTCTGAATATTCCATGGACTGATCATCGAACTAATGTCTCGATTTTGAATCAACTTAAAATCAAGACAGGTTTCTCCGCCATCTGTTTTCGGAGGGTCCTGGAACTGGACTGAACAAAATGTTTGGCAATAGGATGGCAACAACTTTAATAAATTGATGGTCACTGGGAAAATTGAGGGAAAGTGACTAGGAAGAAGAACCGCCACAAATTTTCCTCATCGACTTTCGGCGACAGACAGAAACAGCTGGCGACGCATCACTAGAAAAAAACTGTTCCGAACAGATGATCACGATCCACAGGAATGAAGAAACCTACTCAATGATTTGGAAGAAGATAAGTTTCAAAATAACCATTCGAATTGTCTTGAAAAATATGTTTGTGGAGCTTCATGTTCCACCGTAAGTCTTCGATCTACGCTGAGATTTCACAACCGAAGTGTATTCTAAGAAATTATACTAGAAATGGTAAATTAATTTATTAATGGTAATTAATTCGATTTTGATTAATTGTTGTTTTTTGTTAAAGTTAAAATTAAAAGTTAAAGTAAATAAGTTAATTTAAATTTAAAGTTATTTTAAGGAATTTAAATACAGAGAAAGAGTATTTTTGGTAAGTAATTCGCGAGAACTAAGATACAATGTTTTTGCTTGCGAGGTCTGTAAACAAACGCAAATAAAATGTTTGTTAATAGATACAATAATGGTCACTCTGACTGAAATACTTTTCACGCTTTGTTTATACATTTCTAATAGCTTTTAACAATTTCCCAAACAATCTCATTGAATTTCGGACAGTACATCGTCAGCTAGTTAAAAATAAAAATATTCGTTTTGTGAGAGCCGCTTGCTCTGAACTACTTAAATATAATTGAATTTGGTGAGCCCGACAGCTTTGCCAAGCTTTTTAGGATAAGGCGTTTTAAACTATTTTTATTTTAAGCATTACACCGCTAGAGTTTTCCATTAGAAATTTGAATAGGATTTTTATTTCAGATTTGTATTTCTACCCAACTGATGAACTGACCCAGTAGTGGGGTATTGTTTTTAGAGTGTATGTATACCTATTCTATTATGACCTCCGGCAATCTATATGGCTTACTCACTTACCTCCTTCATATTTCTTTATAGTTTTATTGGTGATACCAACCCAAATACATAGTATTAAGCCAAGTTACAGTTAACAACTACATCAGTTAAATCTAAAGCATACCTCAAGAGTTTCTTATGCCATAACAATGTTTGTCGATATATTTGCGCAACACAAATTGTAGCGTCATCCCACGGGACTAAAACACCACTAACTAAAGTTGAGGATCGATGTGATCACAACTTCGTGATGTCTCAATGTTCATTCTGGAGCTAGTGGGTGCTTTGTCTTGTGGATTGTTTCATTAAACGGATTCCTAACAGTTAGAGATAAAGTTTAAAGTTGGCTGTCACAAGGACTAGTAGGTAGGCGGTGACACGCCCTTGAGTCGCAATAATTACGCAACTGCTCTTGAACCTGGTGATTTTAACTGTAGTACATTCTGAGATGAATGAGTTCTCATATTGAAATTTGTTTGTTGAGCTGAGCTGTGGTTTTATTAAATTATGATCCTTGTGAACAAATTAACTAATGCTTATTTTTAGTAATGTCTTAATCTTAAAATTACTGATGAATATAGATAATACATTTAGTTGGTTCTTGCCCTTATTTCTACTAGCCTACGTCTGCGAAAATAATTATTTTCTTTTATAAAAACTTCCAACTTTTATTTTACAACCTTAAAATAAAATAGTCGTGACATTAAGTAGTCTAAGTCCTTCTTCAAGATCCCCTATATCTGCATAGAAAAAATCTTCATGGTCTGTTTTGCGGTTTTGCCGTAAAAGAGTAAATAACAGGTATACAGATTGAGTGACATTTTCATATATAATTTAATCTATAAAGCGACGAGTGGACTTCAAGTGTCGTGTAAAAAGTAAATCTACGCACTTTTTGTCTTATCATTTAACTTTTAAAATACCTATCCGCACTGACCCCGGTGCAGAATGGGCCCAGTGCGGACTCACCCGGTCCATCCCTAACCAAACAAAACTTTAAACCAAGGCCACAACTACCTCCGTCAGTGGTCACCCACTTCGCTGCCCTTTTAGCTACCCGCTCAGCTGATTAGCTATCTGCTTAGCTAGGTTGTGACGGCAAATTTTAGCCTAGCCTCCATCTGCCATAACATCCGAAAAGGAACTTCCTTCCAAAAATAAAGCTGCTTGAGCGAAGTATCGTTTTCGATAGCTCCTTAAAACTCTTATCAGCAGAGTTAATAGGGCGTTTAGGTACTAAACAAGACTTGAGCTGCCAACGCGCGACACGATCTTGCCGATGTTTCACAACGGCGGCGTCGTTAAGTTGTTGAACCGTTATTCCATTATACAGGAAAGGGCTGAGCTGTAAACAAATTATTATATAACATATCCTAACCTATTTAGCCAGGCACACGCCACTAGAAGCCGAGTGGCTCGTTTTATTAAACGAATTCTTCCTACTTGCCTGTCGATTGGAAAATTCCCCGAGCGGCCAGCGAATTCGATTATGCCTGTCCTGCGCCTGTCTCGTTTGCTTGTTGCCTTGTAATGAAATGTGGCTGTTGTTGTAATTGGTTTTTCCTTAGATCTAGAGATTACGCCACTTAAGGTCTCTGAGAATTGTCTCTAAAATGAGCATGATTCTTCCATCGCCACAAATGTTTGTCATTTGTTGAAATTTGAATGGAACAAACTTATCGACCGATGATAGGATTTATATAAGACTTATTCGTTTACATATTAATACTTAAAAGTTCGGAATTTCAAGAAATCGCATTAATGATAAGTCTAATGCATCCGCTTCTAGCCTGATTTCCTTATTTCTATTGTTCTCAGATGCTTGGTGTCAAAACTATTCGACGTCTGCTCCAAATCTACTCCAGAGCAAATGGAACACTTAGAAGAGATCAGGATACCCTGGGGCAGTGGAATCGTCGGTTACGTGGCTGAAAGTGGAGAACCGGTTAACATCCCCGACGCCTATAAAGTGAGAAATACTATAGAATATACCAGCTATCCCTTATGTTAAGGATTTTAATCATTAGATTCCCAAAACTGAGCAATAAAACGTCGAACAAACTATAAACTTAACGTTTCTCAGTGAATGGTGAAGCTGCTTCTAGCGATCCCAGACATTTTTTTTCCTTTGGTATGAAATGTATGTGCGATCTGGCTGCCGGTCGGCAACAAAGTTGAAGATGTCGTTAAAATACTTTTACGAGAATGAATCCTTATGCGGGATAACTTTTTTAAATTCTGTGGGTCAAAAGTAGTTGCTATTCATCTGAGTGATATTACCTGATATAGCAGCGAATTTCTTTCTTTGAAGTGATTATATTTAAGTTATATTTTTAGGTTTTAAATATTTAAGTGCTAGATGTTTAAATTTAAAGAAAATTTTAATAGAAAAATATAATCCACGCGGACCCGGCAGCAGTCGGGACTCGAACCCGCACCCTCCGTAACTACAACTACTATTTCTTCTTCCAAATGTTAACGACTTCGGTATTCGTTTGACATTGTGGGTTACCTATAATGCAAAGAGATGACTAAAAATAAAAATAAGCCTAAAAATACTAGAAAGAGTTCGACACGGCCATTAGGGTAGCGGTGGCATAATGGTCAGTGCATCTGCCCGGATAGCGGAGGGTACGTGATCGAGTCCCGTCTGCTGCCTGGTCCGCATGGATTTCTTTCTAGTTAAATTCTCTTTCAGTGCATACATTTTATAAATAAAAATTGTTTCTTCAATGGTGAAACTAACATTTGTCTTGCACGAATCGTAGTGAGTTCCGCCAGTTATTGTTATGCTGGCTCTTCACTTGACTAGTTGTGTTTGACATTTGTAAACTTGACATCAGTCTATCCTTTTCATTATATTTAAAAGCATGATAAAGACAGATTGTTGTCAAGTTAACAAATACCAAACATGAATAGTCAAGTGAAGTGCCGGAATCATACAGACACAAAATAACAAATACGTGTACCTACGTAATAATAACAGTTTAGAAAGGTAATAAATCTTTTGTTTTCTGTATCAAGGATGTTGTTAAAAATCAATACAGTTAAAACGCTGGGCACCGAAGAATACGTCACTTAGCAGCTTAGTTAGATGATCAGCATCCTGACCTTGACTGTAGACTGATAAATCGAACGTCAAGGTTTAGGAGGAACATTATTAATGATTTGTGCACTCCCAAGTTTTAGACAAGCAAAGACGCAAAGTTTCCTATCTTGTGATTACTTACCGAAAGTGAATGGGATGTTTCAATTCTTAATGCGACAATAGGCAATCAAAGACCTGACAGGACAAAAAGTGATTTGAAGTCAAAATTTACTCAGAATATCAGTGAAAATGAAAGTGAATTTTATTGATGAATGTAATTTGAGAATATTGTTATCCTGAGTAATAGAATCAGAGCTAGTTTGATTCACTTATTATTTAAATACATTTCGTGACCAAATTTATAAATTGGCATTTATTCTATTTTTATTTCTTTTCAATATATTGTCCATGATGATCGATGCACTTTTGCATATTTTGGAACCAATTTTTCAGAATTTTTTAAAGAAGATTCTTTGTAAATTCTATCCATTGACCGTCGAAACAAATTAAGTAAACGTTGTTGTGATACAAATTTTCGATATACTTCTGCTCAAGATAGCAGCACACAGAGACCCCATTTCTTTTGAAAACTGAGTGTTATTTGGAATAAACATGAAACGTACAAGAACTGGTTAGTTTCAAAATCCGGCATATTCGCTTTCTTGAAATTCTTAAAATACTTCCGTAATGAAAATCCACATTTAGTACGGTTTCAAACACCGCAGTTCAAAAGAGTGATCTCATTCTTGTACGTTTGAATTCCTAGATTTTACCATGAAAGTGTTCCATAATTTCATAGTGAATTCAAATGAGATGCTGACAATTGTCGTGGAGCGGGAAAATGAAGTCTGATTCAAAATGATTTTCACATCTCGGTCGCATTGTACTTACGGACTTCCGATTAGACTCTGCTGACAGGAAATTGTACTGTGGTTGATTCGTCGAGTTATCAATTATCGCCTCGATCTTATGATTATAAAATTCAATGCTCGGTTATGCCTAATGGTTCTTGTGAATGGCTTCTTTCATAATGTGCTAATTTCTTGAGTACTTTTGTTCATAGTAAATTTTTTTAGGAAAATAAATAATATCGTTACTATATCAAGTTATTAATTTATCTAGTGAAGATAACTGAGATAGAAAAATCGTTCATTCATTTATTTTAAGGAAATTATGCACAAACGAAATGCATTTTATAGCCGGCCATCTTAATGGCAAACACGTACTGTGGAGTTGTAACACGATCAACCGTAACGCCAAATTCCTTTACAACTTCTTTGACTCGTATGGTGCTTGATATCAAAGTGCCTCTCACTCCCACCCACTTCCCTTCCTAAGCAGGTCACATTGCTAATCCATGGGACGGCCATGTCCAAGGGATTAGCATACTAAAGAACGTAGCCCTCAGGCTGCGTTCGACAAAAGCGGTCCATGAACCACCATCCAGTTGTTTTACAATTGAACCCTACTTCTGACCTCCCATCTTCGACGACAGTGATGGACTGGAGAAAGATTGAGAAACTACTCGAATCTTCCGGCAACTTGCCGCTTAACTCCATCCCCGACATCATATACTCTCCTCACAAAATCCTCTCCGAGATTGGAGCCATTTCAAACCATCTCACAACACAACCGCATTAACTCGTAGGAACTTTTAACTAAATAGTGACAACATGACATGACGTCACCGATGGAAACGAAGTGAAAAACTACCATGCTTGAATGTGATGCTAGACAAAAACTACCATGGTTCAACTTGGGCAAAAACTACTTTGTTAAAAATTCGGTAGACAAAACCTACCATAGTAAATTTAAGACTACGAAGTTACACAAAATAAAATGACTTTAAACTTACCGGAGTTGCGAACCTAGCCCTTTTTGGAGCAGAAGAAGCTATCTTTGCACCAACCACTATTAATTGTTGTAGGCGATGTTCTGGCAACCGCTCTCATTGTTTCTATACGCTAGCCAAGTATTAATGACTATTTAAACGCATGTAGTACTTCCGACACACTGAAAACACTTAAGAGACAAGATATGTTATACAAAGGATCACGCGTTCATAAGTGCATCCATATTTATGCGTATAAATAAATATTTTACCTACTGCGAAACTGGCTATTTATTTTTTCAGTTTATTCTGTCCGACGTCTCGAGCTGCGAAAAGAGAAAGCAAAAAATGAAATGAGTATACGTTTTTTTACGACATGCCATTAAACAATGACAGAGCCAGACTGAACCCCTCGCGGCTACTATGAGATCCGTATGCGATGTCTTAACGCCGTGGGCGTTTTTCCACATTAACTTTTTCACAGTACAGGTATGTAATATTTTATTCCAAATGAGACATCATAATATATCCCCTAACGCTGAGATTACGCGACAATCGCACCTACAGGGGTTTTAAACGACGATCGTTTTTTTTAAAGCGACTGTAGCTAAGATTCTGCATAATGAAAGTCTGCCACCGAGTGTGCATAATAAATCTTCACGAACCTCTTCCACGTCAAAAAGCAAAGCCCTTTGTTCTTTGAAACAAATTTCCAATGCATGGAACAACGTTTCTGTAAATTTATTACAGCCAAACAAAGTCAACTGCTATTACAGATATTAATATTAAAAATAAAATATAAGCTAGTGCCGTTTTTTATTCCCATCGCGTATTGTCGCGTGATCTTTACTCCATCTTGCCTTGCCTTTATGATATGACTCCACTTATCGTAAATTTTTGGACGTGCCTGTCTTGTGAAGCTCACTCAAGTTTGCATATGAGCAACTTTTTATGCTTCATTCGAGCGAAAGGAATGTCTCGATTTGGAGGCCCCTTTGTTGTTTATGACAACCAATTCCCGATGATGTTCTGGCGTATAATGTGATGTAATGAACTTGTTCCCCTTATCTGAAACAAAATGGCATGCGTAGGCACTTTCAATATAAACAAACTCTTTTTACTTATACATAGAGTTTGTTTTTGTGCTGCTTTATTCTCAATCAAAATTATTTACAAAAACAAATCATGTAAAAAAATGCGTTGATGTCGAAAAAAAAGCTATTGAGGAAAAGCTTAATTCACGAAAGAAAGATATGAGATTAATTGACAGTACCATTACGGACTGTAGTACCATCATAATCATAGAGCAGTAAAATGATCCTGGTAGAATTTGGTAGCAGTCATAGCTACTTCTAATTTGAACTTAAAGATCTATCGCAAAATACCTACCATTGTTAGGGAGGACCGTTATGAAACGTGGTTCCAGAAAAATCTAACTTCCAGTGTTAATTCGGGTCCTGGCTTTGGGTGTTTATGTATAAAATTTCTGATAGCCATAACAAACGCTCTTTAGAACTTCTGGAGTAAACATTAGTCAACTGTTTAGACAATATTTATTTTTTTTACATCAGGAAAAACAAGAAAATATAAAATACGAATATATGGTTTTAAATAATAAAATTGCATGGTTTTGGCGTAAATTTTGTCACGGTAGTATTAATTCGTTATCAAATAATTGGTATCAGAGAATTTAAGTAAACCAACTCTATTTTAGTGAATAATCATATTCCTGTCAAATAACAGTATCCAGTTCAATTGCATACCAGGACTTTTTAAAATGGCCTGTTCCATGGCTTTGCCAAATGCGGTACACTCCAGTTCCTGGTTGTAAAATATATTCCTAAGCAAACGCGCTGACGCAAACAAAGCTACTGTTGTTTGTAAAAGTAATACGTACAGTTTTAATATAATTCAGTATATTGTTCAACATGGTTTTAGTGTTTATTTTGACTCTAACAAGTCGCGAGGACTATTTATTACGATTACAGATTCACGACGAATTTAGAACTTCCTTAGTCAGTAAAGTTAGGCGAGATGGCTCAGTGGTGAG